GTGTATTATTCATTGAGGGAAGTGGACATGATTTTATGTGGAAAATATTGTAGCAATGTGATCTGAGATGCATAGTTAGTTACTCATAATTAGGTGATGATACCTGATTTCGTTTTGTCTCATGAATTTCTGTCGCCCATTAATTATTTTCTCAGGGTGAAAATTCAAATGAGGTTCCGAGTGAAGAGCCTGACAGTGAACCCAAGGTTACAAGAATGTCAAGCCCTCATCCTATGGAGATTGATGGACAAACGGTTGATCAGTTGCCTGGTTTAGTAAAGATCAGTAAGTCTGTTTCTGTTTCATGAAGCTCTGCCAGGCAGAGCTATAACGAGAATCAACTTCTTCTGCCGTCCTTGATTAGTTTGGTGATGATTAAATTGCAGCTTCTGAAGAAATTTCCGCAGCTGTTTGTGACAACGATCCAGATCGATTGAAGTTGCCTCACCTTTATAATGAGGTATATCATTTTTGTTAATTAAGCATGATCTTGGCTTCATTATGGGGTTTGTAGTATTTGTATAAAACAAAAATTTATACTCATATTGTTCTTCATATGGCTGTTAAAATTTGGTAACGGATTCATTTATGTTTTTCACTCGCTATTTTGCTGTTAGATGTGCAAGCTTGTGGAGGAAAATGCCAATGAATTAGTTCAGACCAAATTAGGAACCATTTGTGAAGAAATAAGCAGGATTCTCTCTACTGGGCAACAAAATCCTTCTAATTTGACAGAGCCCATAGTCAATCCTGATAAGCAATCACAAGCCAAGACAAAGAGCAATGTTGTAGTTCCCGGATCATCAGCTGATCAAGATGACAACAAGCATGCTGCTGTGGCGGACGTTGACATGACAGATTTGGCTGCAGAACCCGAACATACAATCTTGGAGTTAGACCCTGACCCAGAAGAGGAAGAGGAGAGCAGAGAACTACATCGTGACGTTCAAGCTCCTGCGGGTTTGGGTTCACCTCAGTCGGGCCCGACAAATCTGGCCGGAAACTCTGGAAATGGTGTGGGAGAGGGAATTGCAGAAAAACCTGAGCAGGTCATAGTATTGGATGATTAAATGGGAGTGATGATACTAGGCTGGTAGGCTTACTTTCTTTGTACCCTTTGTGTTGCAATGAAAATGTGTATACCGCAGAAAGTAATTGAAAAATAGCCGGACCTTCTTAATCATATAATAGAGTAACTTTTCACCCTCATGAGTCTTTTAGTTCTTTTGGCCCGACCCAACTGTCTTAACTCCTTGACTTCTTCCACTCAGATTGGAATTGGATATTGCTCAGGATCTGAAAAATAAAAACAATAAAAGGATAAATTATGGTTGGCATGAGATAAGACTTCTTGGTGATGTGTACAACCACATATCCATGTGTGAATGGATAAAAACTTAGTTGCAATGGGGATAATACTGTTTTGCTATTCTCGACTAATAATACTATGCTACGGGAAGGTTTTATCTCGTTTATCAAGGCGTTATTGATTGGAAATGGCAAAATAGTGATATCCTGTTTCATGGAAGTCTTTCTCATGAGAAGCTTTTGATCTCCGACCAAGTTGCAGGAAATTTAGAAATTCAGCATTTCGATCACATCAATTGCGGCCCTATCCGTTTCCTTCAACATCAAAACTGTAGTTCCAACAATTTGACACATAAAAATGTCAATGCCTACGTCTATATCTACATGCATAGGCATTGTTTTCTAGCATGGCCCCTGGAAAACCTACTGCTCTGAGTCTGAAATAATAACCCTAATTTTTATCTACTTTTTTTGTTTTGTTTTTATTTTTTTTTCTTTTGGGTGGTGTAGGCCAAAACAACATGATAGTTGCTTTCCGTCTTCAAAATTTCAACTCTCTCGTCGTTATCTAAACAGGAGCTCTTGGGTGGTGTAGGCCAAAACAACATGATAGTTGCTTTCCGTCTTCAAAATTTCAACTCTCTCGTCGTTATCTAAACAGGAGCCTAAAATCCTAAACTCTCTTGTATTCTTAAACATTAAGACTTAATTAACCATAAGATTCTTTAGTTTGATTGCTGACATTATCATAATATAAATACTAATAAGTACCAAAAGCACAGCACGGTCACCAGTGATGTAGCAACTACCACTATTATTTATCACCAACACCACAAGATAATTAACATATGATGTTCGCCAAATTTTATTTCTTGATGAACCCATCTAAAAATTAACTTATGGCACAATTAAATACTAATTATTGTGAAAAATGCGCTAAATTTTGTTCGTTTTGCCAAACAGAATAACATTACATATACTTTTTCTCCACAAATGATATCGAGGGAGGAGGAATTCGAACACATGATCTTGGATATAGGGATATCAACTCTTCTAACAACTTGTGCTACATCATTACATATATTTTAATTGCGAGTTCCATGATTTCATAAGTTATTATTCTTCAAATAGAGACATAAAACTCAGAACCTTCCAATCTCTAGCCTAAATTAATTAGATGCTAATGACGGGTACTTGTCTTTCACTGTTGAAAGCGTACGTTCCTAGGTCATCAAAAGCCCCACATGTTCCATACTCACTCAACCAGGTTGGCCAAGTTTGTATTATTATTAATCATGTTCATCCCTTGTAAATTAATAAAGTCTCACTTAGCGGAAAGAGAGAATAAATTTAAAAGCTCTCGAGGTCCACTATTGATGTACCAAGTTCAATCGTCGTTTTATTTTCTTCCTTTTGAGCAGCATCAAGGGTTCACCAGTCATTTTCTTAAGCTTCTTTCGATCTTTGAAGTGAACCAAAGAACACCATGTCATGTAGTTTTCTTAATTATTCATTTACCTCATTTCCTAGCGCAATGATACAATATATTATTTTAATTTATATGCGCAAACGATAATTTAGCTTAAATTACTTCGATCAACTGACCTAACACAAATCATGATTCTTCTAAAATCGGAAGACATATACACAACAGAAAGATATGAGAACATAATTGTAATAATTGTAGGACGAACTAGCTAGAAATCCGTGCATGAAGCCCTGAACATGTCTTCTGCACCCTTTGTGTAAAAAAGGAAAAAAGGAAAGAAGTTGATTTATTAGGTTGTTTGCCCATAGATAACATTAAGAAATAAGGATGGGGTTCTCTCAACAAAAAGAAAAGAAAAGATGGGGTCGGGACCGTTTGACATTTACACAGTATTGCTAAACAATTATTCAAAATAAAATATTTTAATAAAATATTTGGGAATACATTTTGGATTATTATAAGCAATTTAGAACTATAGTTGATGTGGCATTAAAAAGACAGGCACATGCATCGCTGAATTTGCACAGGAATTATTGTGCTCGATGGAAACACATAAAATTTGTCATGAAGTTGAAAGATATGCACGTTGACTGGATCAAAGTTCAGAAATTGTTGCCAATAATTTGAAGTAAGTAAAATCAGATATTAGAAAAGATAAAGATGCAGGCATGCACTAGGCACTAGGCACTAGTTAGCTAGAGTCTATAGAAGAAAAGAAAGAAAACACATTCCTTTACAACTTTAATTAAATAATAGATCTAATTTATACTCTAAGCAATATAATTATTATGTGATAAATTAAATTAATGTATAATAATTAAAGTGAAGAAAAGGTTAAGCAAAAGAAAGAGCCCCGAAAATAAGGCAAGGTGCTGGGAAAGGTAGATACAGGAAGAGACAAAGGGCGGGCTTTAAAACCACGCATGCTTTGCTATCAAGAGAGAACCACTTGCCAACCCCTCTCCCTCTCCCTCTCCCTCTCCCTCTCCCCC